TACTTACTTATGTTCTTACTTACACTTACTACTTACTCCGTACTATGTACTACTTACGACTTACTACTACTCCTACTAATACTACTACTATTACTTTACTACTACTACGACTACGACTACCGACTACTACTACTACGACTACTACTACTACTACTACTACTACTACTACTACTGCTTACTACTACACCTCTCACTCCTACTTACTGCCCACTTCACCTCCCGCTCCCACCACAAGGAGGATTGTACAAGGAGGCGGGAGAAGGAGGAACAGGGAGGATATCGGGGGGGGGGGGGGGGGTGGACAGGCGGAAACACGCCTGAAAAACACGACTGTCGGCATGCTTCGCAAGAGTTGCTGTTTTGAGATGGGCTGGTGGGGATACGCGAAGCGTGAAGAATTGCAGCATGCTTTGGGATCGGCGTGGCACAGGGACAGGATCTACCGACCGAGAGACTGGGTTTACATATGGAGACGTGGGCCCAGGACAGGGCGCAAACCTTACGGTTTGCAGAGGGATAGGTGGGTTGGGCCAGGGGCTGTAATATGTCACCACGGAGCAGCAGTGTGTGTGCGTGTGTACCCAGTCGATTGTGGAAATGCAGTTGTGAGCAAATACGACCTGCTACGCAGTCCGAATCTCTTGGGGCAGAACTTACACAGACTACCAGCTATCGGGACGTCTTGGACAAGCAACTGGAAAAGGGGATTACGGGAGGGGCTCTAGATGTTGCTCAAGAGGGACCACCACCACCAGAGGCCACCATGGCACCCATCAGCTCCGAGGGCTCAGTGTCTCCTGTGTGAGTCGCTCCAGCGGGCTCCAACGAGGCCTCAAGTCACCGCAGGGGCCCTCAGGATTCCAACTTGGGTTCCAACAGCATCGAGGCTCCAGCGGCTCCCAATCCAGCTCCCGACTCCAGCAGTCTCCCAACTTCAGCTCCGACTCCAGCGATCCTAGAACCTGTGGCTCAAGCAGCGATTGGGCCAGCAACTCCACCGCCAGGACTACCTCCTCCAGCTCTGGCAGCCAGTTCGAGGCCGAGGCCCCGTCTTGTCTGGGCTACAGGACCGGTGACTCGTCTGATACCCGTGCACAGACCAGCCAGCGTCGGGTCCAGCTCAGCCGGGCTCCTGAGAGAGCCAGCCGCCGAGCCGACTCCCTCAGTGTCTCAGCTAGGCTCCAATCCTTCCAGTTCGGAGTCTGGCTCCCGGGCGGTGGCCACTGCAGGGGGGCTCTCAGGCTTCTTCGAAGCGTCCCTCTCTGTCCGAGGTCGACCTGGAGTTCCAGCGGGCCAGGCTGGATCCTGACACCCTTCGTTCCGCAGCTGGCGGGGCCCCTGACCGACGAACTGCTCAGAGGCTCCGGTCTTCCGACTCCATCGGAGCTGCTGCCGCAGTTCGGCACTGAGGGAGAGGAGGGTCGACTTCGTGCCCAGGTTCAGGAGTTCGAGGACTGGCGGGCTCAGCAGGGCAGCGCGGCGACCTCATCTCCGACCGGTCCTCTAGAGGCGAGTCCGACGGCTCCGATGGACGAGTCAGGCCTCAGCGCTCTCGAGGGCTTCTGGTTCGAGGGCTCGGGCTGGAGCGGCAACATCGAGATCTACATGAACGGCTGGAAGGACCTCATCTTCGAGCACTCCGAGGACAGTGCTGGGGAGTGAACCCTGCTGTCTTCACGCGGCGGAGAGGTCAATGCTCAAGGATCTCTCAGCACCGGAGCTCGAGAAGTTCAGGCAGTCGGACGAGGCCGAGTGGGACGTGCTCAACAAGCCGAACGTGCTGCGGATCCTCAGCAAAGAGGAGTCCACTCGGGTGCTCCGAACTTATCCCGAGCGAGTGCTATCATCTAGAATGGTACGTAGGTGGAAAGCGCAAGAGGGTACATTCAGTGGCCCCCGAAGCTAAGAGCAGATGGTGCGTGCACGGTTTCGCTGATTCCGACACCGAGCATCTGGTGACCTACTCCCCGACTCCTCAGTCGGAGGCGATGATGCTCTTCGGGCTCGTGCTCCTGGGCCATGGCATGGACCAGAGCATCGTGGACTGCAAGAACGCTTTCAGTCAGTCAAGACGGCTCCGTCGTGCTGATGAGCCCATCTATGTAGCTCCATGCTAGGGGCTCGCAGGCATTCACGTTCCAGACGGGTGCCTGATAGAGCTTCACGCTCCCTGGGAATGGCACGCCACGATTACATCCTACCTGCGCGACCTCGGCTTCAAGAAGCTGCTCCTGGAGCCCTGGACTCTACGAGAGCAGGGCGCTCTGAAGGGATAGGTCCTGATTGAGGTGGACGATCTTTGGCTGGGCACGGTCGCGTCTCACACGAAATGGTTGGCCGACTCTCTGAAGGCCAGGTTCACCTTTGGCAAGTGGCGCGGAGACGAGGCGGAGTTCGCCGGACGGCGCATCCGCAAGGAGGCTCATCGCATTCGCGTGGACCAGGAGAAGTACATCTTGGAGGAGATTCACCCAATCGTTCTTGAGAAGGGCCGCCGCTCCAAGAGACAGGAGGCTCTAAGTCGCTCGGAGTTCGAGCAGCTCCGGCCCGGCATCTACCGGATAAACTGGGTGGCAAAGGAGACTCGTCCTGAAGTGGCCGGGACAGCTTCCATTCTCGCCAGCAAGCTCGAGCGGGCAGTCGTGGAGGACATCGTCGTGTTCAACAAGGCCGTCCAGATGCTACGCGACACCGCCTCCCAGTACCTGACCATCTGGCGCCATGACCTGTCCCAGGTGGTGAGCTTCACACTGAGCGATGCAGCTGGGATCGGCACCGACTCGCCCATCCAGTGCGCGTGGGCAGTTGGAGTGGCTGACCCCCAGTTTGGCCGCGGGGCTGACCAGCAAGGTGACAGTCCTATCCTAGAGATCATCCAAGATGCGTCGAGCTGCCAACTCATCCCTGGCTGGTGAGGCCAACTCAACTCACTCTGCCAATCTCTCGGGGAGGCCGACTGGGTCCAGCTACTGCTTCGTGACGCCTGTTACGGGGATGTGCCCACTGCCGACTGGCGACAGTACGCCGGTCCCTACGTGTCTGGGCTGCGCGACAACTGTGAGCTGCATCGGCCCTTGCCCAGAATTCACGCTACGGACGCCAAGTCCATCTTCGATTGCCTCTCCAAGAACTGTGCCGGCAGGAAGCAGGATCGCAGGACCTCGGTGGACCTTTCCATAACTCGGGACTCCTTCTCCCAGCGAGGCTCTTGCGTGAAGTGGCTTCCTCGTTTGCTTAACCCTACGGATGTGATGACCAAGGCCGACGTCTCCAAGGGTTCCGATGCGATGGGTCATATGATACGCCGAGGGACTCTGACGCTGAGCGACGCTGAGTCCGAGCGGGCTCATCTGCTCGCCGGTGGTGAGAAGGGCCGACGCAGTCGTGAGGCTAGCCGCCGCTACCTACAGGGTCGCGATCGGCGGCTCGAGAAGTCAGGCCGACAGTAAGTGGGGGGAGCTGTGGCATCGTATGGCTCCCCCTCGTCCTGACTATGCAGTGTTCTCTGTGCTCTCTGCATCTGTTTGCATTTCTGTCTTATGCACATTTCAGGGCCCAGAGTTTTCCAGACACCCTGTACCCGGTCGTTTGGCTCAAGCCATTTGTCTGCGCTGAGTGGAAAAACATTCTAGTCAGATAATCTTGCGATGGCCGCCTGAACCCGTCGTGCCCACAGCGACGACTGCCCAATAAGGCTCTTATGATGCCGAGATGGCCTCAGATGCATCCAAGATGGCCCCAAGAGGGCCCAAGAGAGCCGCGGAGTGGCCCCGAGATGGCCCGACGACTGCCCAATGAGGCTCCTGGACGGCTCAGCACGGAGTCCCCAGAGAGCCCAAAGCTGGCCCAGGAGGGCCGCCAGAGGGACCCACGAAGACCCCAGAGGGCCCTCTCGACCGCTCAGGGCGGCTCCAAGACGGCCTCGAGAGACACTCCAGACGGACAGGACGGCCCAAGACGGCTCAATAGCGCCGCAAGAAGGCTCAGGGGGGCTCCAAGAGGGCCCAAGCGAGCCCTAAGGGGCTCCAATACTAATACTACCCCACAGGAGCTCAAGACGGCCCCAAGTGAGCTCTTCCTCGACGTCAATCATGTTCCACGTCGCGCTCGTCCACTGCGATGCTCCTCCTCCTTCTGCTCTTCCTCACCCTTTTACCCCTCCCTCCTCGTCATCGTGTCCTTCATCCCTCCCTCCTCCCTCCTCCCCTCCCTCCCTCCTCCCCTCCCTCCCTACTCCGCCCCAGGACGGCCTCAGGTAAAACCTGGGATGACCGGAAGACGACCGAGGTGTGGCATGTGGCAGCGTTCTGATCGAGCCACGCCCGATCTCGGCGAGGCGCGGCTGGCGAGACTGGGCCCCCCCTGGCCCAGGCCCCGTGGGCGGTCGAGCGCCCCCCCGAGGGCGACCCGCGAACCTGCGCGGGCGCCCGCGCGCACGAGGCTGGGATCTCGAGGCGGCTCCAGCCGTGGGGACGAGGCGCACTCCAGCCGCCGCTCGATTCACACGTCACGTGTCACGCCCTCCCGCCGCCCCTCGAGCCGCGGCCTCCGAGAGTACCGAGTTGGCACGGCGGCGGGCCGTGCCGCAGGCACATGGATAGATCTGGTAGAAGCTCGCCAGGCACACCGCGGTCGGGTCCTCCCGCTGCAGCGTCTCAAAGATGGCCTCCAGCGCCCTCGGCAGCAGGCCGGCGCCTGCGTCGATGGCCCCCACGGCACTGCCTGACGTGTCGTCGACCCAATTTTCGCCAAGCACCGTGTGGGTCTTCCCAGAGCCCGTGTGGCCGTAGGCGAGGAGGCAGGCGTTGTACCCCTCCAGCGCGCGGCTCACCAACTCGTCGCCCACGGCCTTGAAGACTGCCTCCTGGTCGCCAGCCCGCGCGGGCGTCGTCCTCGCATCAACGAGCGTCGCTGATCCTGCGATGGACGGTGCCGAGGCCGCCGAGGTGGCCTGGGAGGCGACGGGGGTGCCGTCGTCGCGCTCGCGGAGAGGCTTCTGCTCACCGCCCGTGGGGGCTGCGCTGCTGCTGGCGCCGCTGGGCGCAAGGTCGCAACCGTGGCCGCGGCTGTCCACCACGGCGTCGGCAACGAGGGTGTACTCCTGCAGGGGAGCAAACTAAGACATAAACAGAAAGACTCGGAGGTCCGCGCGGATTCTCTGATCGGCGTTGGACCCCGCCCATGGCGCGCAAGGCGCACCAGGGGCGCGCCGAAGGCGCCGCAGAAGGGGGCCCCAGCGCCGATCCGAGGAACCCGAGCGGACCTTCGAATGTTTATGTTTATGTTTGTGCCACTGTGTTCCCCTATCCTGGCCCTGCTCGCTGAAAACGGTCACCCTGCTCTCGGACGGGTGAACTCTCACGCCCTCCGGCTTGCCCGCTTCGCGCGGGACCAGCGGGCGTACCCGCACGGCGAGCTTGATGCCGGCGGTGCCCGAGGCCGCCCTCGAACCCTCGCTGCCCAGGCCGGGGCCTCTGGGCGTGCGCGGGGAGGACACCGTGCCCTGAGGCAGCTCGGTCCTGCTGCGGGGGGAGGGCGAGGAGGAGGAGGAGGAGGAGGAGAAGGAGGGAGGAGGAGGCGGAGGAGGAGGAGGAGGAAGAAGAGAGCCCATGTGGACGGACCATTGTGCTTGAGTGATGTCGCCCAGCTGGAGGAGGAGGAGAGGAGGCGGAAGGAGGAGGAGGAGAGGAGGAGGAGGAGGAGAGGGAGGAGAAGGAGAGGAGGGCGGCGAGGGGGAGAAAGTCGTCGGACGCGGCGGCGGAAGCACAGAGGATGCGCAGGAGGAGGAGGAGGAGGAGGAGGAGGAGGAGGAGGAGGAGGAGGAGGAGCAGGAGGAGGCGGCGGAGGCGGCGGAGGAGGAGCAGGAGGAGGAGGAGGAAAGGAGAGGGTGGTGGTGGTGGTGGTGGCTTGGGTAAGCGATCTGGTGAGGCCTCGGGCACTGCCTCTTTAGCGGTACCTCCCACTCAGGGGACAGCTCACCACCTGTCGCGGGGGTCTAGTACCGCAACGCCACGGCGCCACTTGGTCCGAGAGACTCCCAGGCGGTACCACCCCTGGAGCACCCTCCCCCCCCACCTCGTCCCCAGGAAGGCCCAGCTGTACCAGCCCCCAAGTACCTGAGGAGCGGGAAACCCCAGAACAGGAGGGCGTTACAGCTGGGGTCCCGACCCAAGACGAGGGGGACAGGGGGATCCATCCAGGGACGCCCTGGTGGCCTCCCGTGCCGGGCGGAACCAATGACGCCGAATGGGAATGGACAGCGCGAGAGCTCCCGCTCACCTCCGCTGGGACCTCGCCCGTCCTAGCACATCCTGGATGCCACCGCAGGGCGCAGCTGCGAGGCGATGATAGATGACTGGAGGAGGCCCTCCCCGAGTGGGTGTCCCCCGCCACCACCCCTGCTCGGCATCGGGACGCGGCCCGGCCTGCGGGGAGAGACAAGGGGGGGAGGAGGAGGAGACGGGGAGGCCCCTCGCTCACCCCGAAAACCACAGGCCCCCTGGTGGCCCCTCGCCAGGAAACGAGGCGAGGCCACCGAGACAGAACCGAGAGCCCCGGGAACCCCAGAGGGCGGAGGAGGAGGAGGGGAGAGAGCACAGAGCGGAGGGCACGCCCGACCCCCGGAGAAGTCCCCGGAACGCCCAGGCGGGAGTGCGTCTGCACACCGCAGATGCGGACTCACTCCCGCCCAGGGTTGGGCACTTCTCCGGCAGCTGGGGGGCCATGCTGCGACTCCTCCTTATGGGAGCGGCGACCGCATGCGCTCAATCTCGACCTACCCAGAACCGCCGCTGCTGCTGGTCCACACCCGCCGCGAGTGCGACCGCCTCCGCGTAACCAGCCTCCCCTGGCCTGGCAGACAGCAGCGCGCGCGCACAAGCCTCCTGCGAGATCGGCTGCGGCTGAGCCCGCCGCGCCGTCCAGAAGGCAGCCCGGCCTCCTGCGGTACCCGGGCAGCCGCTGCACACATGGAACGACAGACTGCGCTGCCGCGCACCACACAGCACGCAGCTCTGCACGGCAGCCCACGACCTGCGCCCGCCCACGTGCCCCAGGACGAGGAGGCCGGCCCTCCAGCGGCTGAGGAACCGCATGCCCTGCAGCACGTCCCAACTGCACGCGCCCTGGAGAGCCGTCGCCAGATCCCGCACAGGGAAAGCAAGGGGACAGGACGGTCATGGACCCTCGCCCTGAGCTGCCACTCCCCCCTGCACTTGCGAGCAACCTGCTGCTGCACAGCCGCGACATACGCCTCGCGCTGCTCCCCCGTGTGAGCCTGGGACCAAACCGGCCAATCCTGCACGCCCCAAGCCGCGATCAGCCTCTCGGACTGACTTGCCCAGGACAGTTCGCGGGTAGCGTGGGCCGCCAGGAGGAGGAGGAGGAGGAGGAGGAGGAGGAGGAGGAGGAGGAGGAGGAGAAGAGGAGGAGGAGGAGGTGAGGAGGCGCAGAGGAGGAGCAGGAGGGAGGGAGGAGGAGGAGGAGGAGGAGGGGGGAGGAGGAGGAGGAGGAGGAGGAGGAGGAAAAGGCGGCGGTGCATCGTCGGCATCTCCGTCTCTGCTTTCTGCACTTGCACCTGTCCCTTCAGTTCTGGGCGGAGGAGGCGGCGGAGGGAGAGGAGGAGGAGGAGGCGGAGGAGGTGGGCGTGCACGGGTCGGCCACCCTACCCTTTGGCAGCACGGACCTGCTGCGGGGCATCTGCGGCGGCACCCTCTGGCCGCTGGCAGTGGGCCCCCGGCGCAACGGGGGAGCGCCTGCCGCGCCCGCTCTCGCGCGGAGCCGGCTGCACGCGCGGCTCCTGGCGCGGCGCGGAGCTCTGAGCCGACATGGCTGTGGAGGTCCAAAAACCTGGCTGCACGCAGAGAGCGGCCTTCAAGCAGGCCTGTCCCCCTACAAGGGGGATTTTCGACGAACATGATGGACCCACGGACCCGGAAAGGGATATAGACATGTGCAGCATGGTCACGTTTTCACGATACCCAACTGAGCGACATCTCACGAAACATCCCACGAGACACCCTGCGAAACATCCCACGAGACAGCTCACGAAACATTCCACGAGACACCTCACGAAACATTCCACGAGACACCCCGTGAAACATTCCACGAGACACCCCACGAACAGGCAACCACTCAACCAGACACCCCGCGAAACATTTCACGGGGGTGCGACTGGGTGTGGTCGTGCTGGGGTGTGGTCGTGCTGGGGTGTGGTCGTGCTGGGGTGTGGTCGTGCGGGGGTGTGGTCGTGCTGGGGTGTGGTCGTGCTGGGGGGTGGTCGTGCTGGGGGGGTGGTCGTGCTGGGGGGTGGTCGTGCTGGGGGTGTGGTCGGTGGGGTGTGGTCTGCTGGGGTGGGGTCGTGCTGGGGTGTGGGTGTGTGGATGTTGGTCAGGGCTGGGGTGGGGCCATGTCGTGCTGGGTGGGGTTCTAGTCGTTCCTTCTCCACCGTCGCTTCCCGGTTATTTGTCAGTCCCGTTTAACTCTCGTCTTCTCTCTCAAAGAAATCATACTAGTCCAAGGAGTTTTTGGAGACGGCCCACGACGACTCTGTCCCCAGCGAAAGACTGGGAAAGCGTGGCCAGCTTACGTTCATGACCACGCTGGGTGGCTAACATCAGCAAGTGCCCGACCATGGGCGGGGACGCATAGGCCAAATGAATCTCTCTGCCATAGTCGTCTTCCCACGTGGGGGCAGATGTGGCGCACCATACAACTCTGGGCAACGACAGGTGCATGCGTTGAATCGGCCCACGGGGGCTCCTCCAACTAACATGGTTATCGAGCGGCACCGCGCGCCACATCTGACAAACCTGCTCGACGTTATAATGAGACGTGACGGGGCCCGTGACCGCAAGCCACACAATGTGAGCCCAGTGAAGAGCTGGCGCAACACCCGCCCTCCAGACAGGGTCTCCTCCGAAACAAAGTTTGGCGGTGAGCGAGCACCCCCGATGGCGAGGGACACGATGCGACAGCATGACACGACGATCCCGTTGTAACTCGCGGTCGCTCACGCCGACAATCGCCGAACCGAACGTGGCAGCAGGCTGCAGGCCAGCCACCTGTATCTTTCCGACGCGGCCCTTCTGCCTGGGTAAACTACGACGATAG